CAAACAATTAAATAAAAGATGCCATCAAAAGCTTACCAACAAAGAAAAGCCCAGTACCAAACAGATTCTTAGCTGAGTTCTACAAGACCATCAAAGAAGAACTAATACCAATACTCTTCAAATTAGTGAGGGAAACCTTCTAAACTCATTCTATGAGGCTAGTATCACCCTGATAACAAAACCAGACAAAGATACATCAAGGAAAGAAAACTTCAGACCAATGTCCATGATAAACATAGAAGCAAAAATTCTCAATAAAATTCTGGAAAATCACATACAAAAATATATTAAAAAGATAGTGCAGGCTGGGGTTGCAACTCAGTAGAAAAGCACTTGCCTAGCATGTGTGAGGCAAAGGGTTCGATTCTCAGCATCATGTATAAATAAATAAAATAAAGGCCCATTGACAACTAATAAAATATTTTTTAAAAATGTGCACCATAATCAAGTGGGGTTCATCCCAGAGATGCAAGGTTGGTTTAACATACAGGAATCAATAAACATAATACATCACATCAAAAGACTTAAAGACAAGAATCATATGATTATCTCAATAGATGCAGAGAAAGAATTTGACAAAATACAGCACCTCTTCATGTGCAAACACTAGAAAAACTAGGGATAGTAGGAACACACCTCAACATTGTAAAAGCTATCTATGCTAAACCCAAGGCCAACACCATTCTAAATGGAGAAAACTGAAAGCATTCCCTGTAAAAACTGGAAAAAGACAGGGATGCCCTCTTTCACCACTTCCATTCAACACAGTCCTGGAAACTCTAGCCAAAGCAATCAGGCAGACAAAAGAAATTAAAGGGATACAAATAGGAAAAGAAAAACTCAAACTATCACTATTTGCTAACAATAGGATTCTATATTTAGAAGATTCCAAAAATTTCACCAGAAAACTCTAGGACTAATAAATGAACTCAGGAAAGTAGCAGGAATAAAAATCAATACCCATAAAATCAAATGCATTTCTATACATAAGTGATAATCCACCACAAAAGAAATTTAAAAAACTATCCCATTCACAATAGCCTCAAAAAAATAAAATACTTGGGAGTCAATCTAAGAAGAGAGGTGAAAGACCTCTACAGTGAACTACAGAACACTAAAGAAAGAAATTGAAGAAGATCTTAGAAGATAAAAGATCTCCCATGGGGCTGGGGTTGTGGCTCAGCAGTAGAGTGCTCACCTAGCAGGTGTAAGGCACTGAGTTTGATCCTCAACACCACATAAAAATAAATAAAGGTATTGTGTCCAATTACAACTAAAAACAAAAACAAAAAAATCTCCCATGCTCTTGAATAGGCAGAATTAATATTGTCAAAATGGCCATACTACCAAAACTGATATACAGATTTAATGCAATTCCTATTAAAATCCCAATGATATTCTTCATAGAACTAGAAAAAGCAATCATGAAATTCATTTGGAAAAATAAGAGGCCCAGAATAGACAAAGCAATCCTCAGTAAGAACAGTGAAGCAGGAGGCATCACAATACCAGACCTTAAACTATACTACAGAGCCACAGTAACAAAAACAGCATGGTATTGGCAACAAAATAGACATGTAGACCAATGGTACAAAATAGAATGCCCAGAGACAAACCCTGTGAATACAATTATCTCATACTAGACAAAGGCACCAAAAGCATACATTAGAGAAAAGATAGTCTATACAACAAATGGTGCTGGGAAAACGGAAATCCACAGGTAGCAAATGAAATTAATCCTCTATCTCTCACCCTGCACAAAAATCAACTCAAAGTGAATAAAAAACACTAGAACAGAGACCTTATGCCTAACAGAAGAAAAAGTAGGACAAAGTCTTCATCATGTTGGCTTCACACCTTACTTCCTTAACAGGACTCTTACAGTGCAAAAAGTAAAATTAAGAATCAATAAATGGGACTGATTCCAACTAAAAAGTTTCTTCTCAGCAAAGGAAACAATCAATAATGTGAAAACAGAGCCTAAAGAATGAGAAAAAAATCTTTACCACACGCACCTCAGATAGAGCACTAATCTCCTGGAAATATAAGGGACACAGAACTCAAAAAATTTAACACCAAAAAACACCCCAAATAACCTGATCAATAAATGGGCAAAAGAACTAACTGAACAGACGCTTCACAGAAGAAGAAATATGATAGGTCAACAAATACATGGAAGAATGTTCATCATCTCTAGCAATTAGAGAAATGCAAATCAAAACTACTCTAAGATCTCATCTCACTCCAGCTGGAATGGCAATTATCAAGAATACAAGGAATAATAACTGATGGCAAGGATGTGAGGAAAAAGGTACACTCATACATTGCTGGTGAGACTGCAAATTGGTGCAAACATTGTAGAAAGCAGTGTGGAGATTCCTCATAAAACTTGGAATGGAACCACCCTTTGACCTAGCTGTCCCACTCCTCGGTTTATACCCAAAGACTTAAAAATCAGCATACTACAATGACACAGCCACATCAATGTTTATAGCAGCCTAATTCACAATAGCTAAACTATGGAAACAACCTAGATGCCCTTCAACATATGAATGGATAAAGAAAATGTGATACATATTGGAATATTACTCAGCCTTAAAGAATAAAATTATGGCATTTGCAGGTACATGATGGAACTAGAGAACATCATGCTAAGTGAAATAAGCCAATCCCCAAAAAAACCAAAGGCCAAATGTTTTGTCTGATAAGAGGATACTTATCCATAGTGGGGAAGAATGAAGGAACTTTAAATTGTGTGGAGGAGAGGGGTGGGGCCTTTTCCCATCCTACAGGGATAGGAAAAACATACAATGAGACAGACATTATTATCCTATAAACATGTATGATTACACTACTGGAGTAACTCTGCACCATGTACAGCCAGAGGAATGAGAAGTTGCGCTCCATTTGGGTACAATGTGTCAAAATGCATTCTACTGTCATATATAACTAATTAGAACAAATCAAAAAAAAAAAAAAATAGAAGGGAGATCAGTAGAATAGGAGGGGATAAGGGGTGGGAGGGGAGAGAAAAGGGAGATCCTGGGGAGTGAAACTGATCCAATTATATTGTTTTGTTGTGTGTATGTATGAACCTAACAAATCCCACTGTTATGTATAATTATAATCCACCAAAAAAAGGGGGGGGAAATGAATATTCCCAGAAAAAAAATGAAAACAAAAACAAAAACATTCATAGCATGTAAACACCAAGAATGAACTCTAATATAGACTATGGCCTTCAGTTAATATCTTGATATTGGTTCATATCTTAACATACCATACTGTACCAAGGCAAGATATTAATAACAGAACACTGGGGGTTTTCAAGAGCCAGGGAGGGAGTGTATGAGGGCTTTCTGTACTTTTCTGCTCAAATTTTCAATTGCTAGGTCCAGCCAGGCATGAAGGTACACACCTATAATCTCAGTGACTCAGAAGGTTGAAGCAAAAGGATCACAAGTTGGAAGCCAGCATGAGCAACTTAGTGAGACCATGTCTCAAAAAATTAAAAAAACAAAAAGGACTGGGGGTTAAGCTTAATGGTAGAGCATCCCTGAGTTCAATCCCAGTCCAAAAAAAAAAAAAAAAAAAATGCTAAGTTCCATGCATGACTAACAACCCTTGAACAGACCTATTTAGTCTAGGTGTTTTACCAGTCCCATTTGGCAATTTAACATTTTCTTTCATCTTACAATTCTATCACCTGGATTCAACACCATGTAAAAAGCAAAATGTGTGTGTGTGTGTGTGTGTACACATATATATTTAAGCACTGTTATCATTAAAATGTATGTTTGACTTTTTCCCAAACTTAATTCCAAACCTAACTTTTTTTTTTTTTTTTTGGTACCAGGAATTGAACCCAAGGCCTTATGCATGCTAGACAAATGCTCTACAACTGAACTAAATCCCTAGCCCTTTTTATATTTTATTTTGAGATAGGATCTTGCTAAATTTCCCAGGCTGGGCTTGAACTTGTGATCTTCTTGTCCTGGCCTTCCAAGAAGCTGGGATTACAGGCAGATGCCACTGCATCCAGCACAAATTTGTCTATTCAAGAGTTAGTTCTTCATCTGTTGAATGATGGGAATAATTCCATCAACTCAGAAACTCAAGTTTTCAGAGTTATGTTGAAATTCAAATGAAACATCATATATAGAATCATTTTGTAAACTATACATCTACAAAACTGACATGAACTCATTCTGATGTATCTATCTTGCCCCTCTGTGCTTAGCAAACTCTAATTCACATTTTCCAACATAGCTCAAATAACACCTTCTCTACAGAGCCATCTCTCTATGTATAGCAAGATTTTCTTCACATTTTTGTACAGTGTTTTGTATTTTATCTTTCAACTTACAAAATTTACTTCTCCAAGTGCGGATTATTTCACAAATGCCAATATTCAAGGCACAAAGAAGGATTTCAATAAGTGCTGTATTGGTAATACAGGGTTCTGTCTGCTTGTTCTTTGTTAATAGGTAGTTTGTGATAACCATGAGTCAGTGACTAATAGTTCCTTACATATGGACTTTTTCACATTGAAGGCTGCCTTCTAAATACCCCTTCAGTCTATAACATTGATAAAAGATAAAAATCTGAGCTTCCCACCTTACTCCAAGTTAGGATTCTTCTGACTGCCCCATAAATACGGAGGAGATATTACCCTTAAATTTGCAAAGCATTGCCCCAAAAATGTAACTGACTGATAAAAGTGTACCTAGCCAAGCACAGTCTTAACTACAAGGGGGCACCTACAGATGAAAAGGCATTTGGCTGCCTAGAGGTAGGACAGCTTTCCCAGTCCCTCAAGTGACCCATTTTGGCAGTTCTGAAGCCCTTGAGAAAAAGTCTGAAAGTATCTAAGGAGAGTCAACACATCACAGAAGTAGTACAAGGGAATTATGGGGAAGTAATTCCCACCCAGGTCATATGTGTAACTATTAGAAAAGATCTGCCAAAGAAGAAAGGAGTCAAGGAAGGGAGTCACTCACCAGAGTGGGTCTACATGAGTCACACTGATGACAAATGCCTCTCCGGTCTGTCCAGAAAGAGTCCGCCCACTTTTATCAACAATTGTCCCTGAAATCTGAATTAACAAAGGAAACAAAGTCAACAATATAGATTCAGGTAAAGAATATAATCCCCAAAATAAAATAAAATGAATAGACCAGTATTCCTTATTCTTTTACAAGGAAGAGAAATGTGAAACTCAAATTCAGCACTTTCCAAAAGGATCAGAACGGATATATGCCAAGTGACCAGGGGAGGAGGCAGAAAGCCACAGAAACAGAAAAGGGAAAGTCAATGAGGCAAAAATCAATGCCCCAACAGCAGAAGTCGTCACATATCCACCTGGGTGTGGTGGCACATGATGTTAATTCCAGTTGCTTGGGAGGTTGAGGCAGGATTAAAAGTTCAAGACCAGTCTGGGCAAGTCCGTGAGACCCTGTCTAAAAAATTTTTTAAAAAGGGTGGGGAGTGGGGTTGGGGATTTAGCTCAGCACCAGAGTGCTTCCCTAGCATGCACAACGCCCTGAGTTCAGTCCTAGGCCTGAAAAAAAAAAAAGCAGGGCTGGGAATACAGTTCAGTGGCAAAGTATTTGCTTAGCACTTGTGGGGCTCTCAGTTTAATCCCCAATATTAGGAAAAAAAGAAAAAATATATATCACACATCCATGTCAGTCCCATTGGAGGAGTTTCCCCAGAGATACCAGGTTATCCCAGCCTTCTGCTGTTAAATACTTGATTTATCTAACACCCCTGTTTTGATTCTGTCATATGCTCACCGAGCAGGACTCTCAGAGGCCTGCCTTGAGTTAATGCCTTGGAGTCTAATATCGTCAATTCTGGGTACTTGGCATTCAGCATGCAAGCCCATCCTTCCTTTGCCCTAATGAGACTGGGTCTTTAAGTCTTTGGCTTTAAGGGGGCTTCTTGTGAGCCGCCCACCTGCAATGAGTTGGTAGTGTAGGAAGGAGGTGAACAGAGGAAGTTAAACTAAATGGTTTCCAAAAGATAATGTCAATCATTCTATTTTGGGGAGGGGAGGGCGGCTAGGGGTTATATTCAAAATGACAATTATTAATAAAAGACAAGAATATGTCATGAAAAATATTTTAGAACTTACAAAGATAGGCCGGGGAGCATAATTCTCTTCAAAAAGTTTCTGGAGTGCAAACAAGGCTGCCTGTCAGGGGGAAAAGAAAAAACATCTTTACTGCCAGGAGAATAATGTATCCAAGATCAGTATGACTGCCTGATAAGATGACACCCTATCCCAAGGCCTCTTCAGATGTGACACATTCAGAACTCTCTGGGAAAACGAAAAGTGCCTTCCTTATAATGCCCAACGACAGGGACCCTTTCTGACCAGTGTGCTTCAGTGAAAAAACCATGGTTTTTTGTGGTGAGCTTGGACTGGATTGTAAAGCTATGAAGCCAGTGTTACCCTGTGCTCGCCAGTCAATATTTTAAGTTGCCAACAATGGATCTGTCCTTTCTTTCTATAATTCCTGAATTAAAGATGTACACATTTTCACAATTAATTTCTGAAATTAGAATGTAACCTGTAGTTAATGTACACCTTCCCCATGATGGTGTTTTTTTTTTTCATAGAAAGTTATTAAATCAACAATATTTAAGTTTCCTCTTTACAATTAGAAAAATCAATTTAAAAAATCTTATGGAAAACAAGCATGAGAAAAGTTCTGTAAAAAAGGTAGAGTTAATGAAAACAAACTAAGCCCACTCAGACATATTCTGATGCTATGATAAACAGCGTGGTACTGTCACATCAGCAGACAGATTTCTGAAAAAGACTAAACCCAAACTAACTTGAGAATTTTGGGTAAGAGTGACATTCCACATCATTCCTATTACTGGGAAACAATAAGATGTTTAATAAATAGTGTTACGAAAAACAAGTAACTTTAGTTTAAAAAAAAAAGTAGATCTTAACCCTATTTCTTATTCCAAAATAAATTCCAGAGGCATCATAAGAAAAACCTCTATAATCAAAAGTATGCCACAAATCAAAATGACACTGAGATTTCATCTCACACTAGTCATAATGGCAGTCATAGAGAATACAAACATTAATAAATGCTGGAGAGGATGCGAAGAAAAAGGAGCACTTTTATACTGTTGGTGGGACTGTAAATTAGTACAACACTATGAAAATCAGTACGGAGGCTCCTCAATAGACTAGGCATGGAAATACCATATGACCCAGCTATACCACTTCTTGATATTTATCCTGAAAATTTAAAGTCATCTTACTACAGTGATACAAGCATACCCATGCCTATAGCAACACAATTCACAATAAGCAAACTATGGAAGCTGCCAAGGTATCCATCAATGGATGAATGGATAAAGAAAATGTGGTATATATACACAATGGAGTTTTACTCAGCCATAAAGAAGAATAAAATCATGTCATTTGCAGGAAAATGGATGGAACTAGAGACCATCATGTTAAGCAAAATATGTCAAACTTAGAAGGTTAACAGTAGAATGTATTTTCTCACACAGAAGATACAGAAGAAAAAGGAAAAGAAAGGCAGGAATGAATTTCCTAAAAATCAAAGAAAGATCAGTAGAGGAAGGGATCAAAGGGTAGGAAGTGGGGCGGGGTAATGCTGGGGAGTGATATTAGCCAATTATTACCTTGTGTGAATGTACAAATAAGTAACAACAAAGCTCATCAATATGTACTATAATACATCAATGAAATAATGTGAGGGAGGGGCTGGGGTTGTGGCTCAGCAGTCGAGTGCTTGCCTAGCATGTGCAAGGCCCTGGATTCGATCCTCAGCACCACATAAAGATAAATAAATAAAGGTATTGTGTTCAACTACTTCTTTAAAAAAATAAATAATAATTTTTTTTTAATGTGGGGGAAAAAGGTGATAAGTTGCCAGACACAGTGGCACACACCTGTAATCCCAGCAACTTTGGAGGCTGAGACAAGTTCAAGACCAGCCTTAGCAACTTAGTGAGACCCTGTCTCAAAAAAAAAACAAAAAATAGAAAGGGCTAGGGATGCAGCTCAGTGGTTGAGCACACCTGGGTTTAATCCCGGGTACCAAAAAAATAAAAATAAAAAAAAGCATATAAGTATCTCTACTTAATTAGATAGTGGAGCATTTCCTCTGTATCTATGATCATTTATAAATCAACACCCATAAATCAAATGCACTTCTGTATATCAATGACAAATTCTCAAAAAGGGAATGAAGAAAACTACTCTATTTATAATAGCCTCAAAAAATAAAATAAAATACTTGGGTATCAACTTAATGAAAGAGGTGAAAGATCTATATAATAAAAATTACAGAACCGTAAAGAAAGAAATCAAAGAAGACCTTAGAACATAAAAAGAGTTATCTTGCTCTTGAATAGGGAGAATTAATATTATCAAAATGACCATACTACCAAAAGCACTACACAGATTTAATGCAATTCCGATCAAAATCCCAATGACATTCCTCATAGAAATAGAAAAAGTGTGAAATCCATCTGGAAAAATAAAAGACCCAGAATAGCTAAAGCTATCCTTAATAGGAAGAGTGAAGCAGGTGGCATCACTATACCAGATCTCTAAACTATACTACAGAGCAATAGTAATAAAAAACAGCATGGTATTGGCACCAAAACAGACTGGTAGACCAATGGTATACAATAGAGGACTCAGAGACTAACCCACAAAATTATAATCATCTTATTTAAACAAAGGTGCCAAAAATATACACTGGAGAAAAGACAGACTCTTCAACAAACGGTGCTGGGAAAACTCGAAATCCATATGCAACAAAATGAAATTAAACCCCTCTCTCCCCATGCACAAAACTCAACTCAAAATGGATCAAGGACATAGGAATAAAACCAGAGAACCTGCGTCTAACAGAAGAAAGAGTAGGCCCTAATCTCCATCATGTGGAATTAGGCCCCAACTTCCTTAATAAGACTCCTTTGGTGCAAGAATTAAAATCAAGAATCAATAAATGGGGGGGCTGGGGATGTGGCTCAAGCGGTAATGCGCTCGCCTGGCATGCGCGGGGCGCTGGGTTCAATCCTCAGCACCACATAAAAATAAAATAAAGATGTTGTGTCCACCGAAAACTGAAAAATAAACATTAAAAACTTTCTCTCCCTCCTCTCTCTCTTTAAAAAAAATAAATAATCAATAAATGGGATGGATTCAAACTAAAAAATTTCTTCTCAGCAAAAGAAACAATCTGTGAGGTGAATAGAGAACCTACATCTTGAGAGCAAATCTTACCCCTTACACATCAGATAGAGCACTAATCTCTAGGGTATATAAAGAACTCAAAAAGCTAAGCACCAAAAAAACAAATAACCCAATCAATAAATGGGCTAAGGACCTGAACAGAAACTTCTCAGAAGATGATATACAATCCATCAACAAATATGTGAAAAATGTTCATCACTGCCAGCAATTACAGAAATGCAAATCAAAACCACTCTAAGAGCTCATCTCACTCCAGTCAGAATGGCAGCTATTAAGAATACAAACAACAATAAGTGTTGGTGAGGATGTGGGGAAAAAGGTACACTCATATACTGCTGGTGGAACTGCAAACTGGTGCAGCCAATATGGAAAGCAGTATGGAGATTCCTTGGAAAATTGGGAATGGAACCACCATTTGACCCAGCTATCCCTTTCCTCGGTCTACACCCAAAGGACTTAAACAGCATACTACAGGGACATAGCCACATCAATGTTTATAGCAGTACAATTCACAATAGCTAAACTGTGGAACCAACCTAGATGCTCTTCAATAGATGAATAAATGAAAAAAAAATGTGGCATATATACACAATGGAATATTACTCAGCAATAAAAGAGGATAAAATCATGGCATTTGCAGATAAAGGGATGGAGTTAGAGAAGATAATGCTAAAAAGTTAGCCAAAAAACAAATGCCAAATGTTTTACCTAATATAAGGAGGCTGATTCATAGTGGGATAGGAAGGGGGAGCATGGGAGGATTAGATGAATTTTAGATAGGGTAGAGAGGTGGGAGGAGAAGGGAGGGGGCATGGGAATGTGGTGGAATGTGATGGACATTATTATCCAAAGTACATGTATGAAGACACAATTTGTTGTGAATATACTTGTATACAACCAGAGATATGAAAAATTGTGCTCTATATGTGTAATACGAATTGTAATGCATTCTGCTGTCATATATAAATTTTAAAAATTAATTTAAAAAAAAAGAAAACTGATTGGAATTCTCAAGCTAAAATTATGGTTCTACTATGGGCTGGTTCACTGCTGAGACAAAACAGTACTGATGATGTAAGCCCATGGGCCATTATTAGGATTATAGCTTCTATAAACATCATGGTGTCTGGATGAGGTTGGCTACAATAACAATGCTACATGACTGACAGATGACTAACCAATTAATGATTTCAGGTCCATTTGTCATAAGCAGATGTAGCTTATTATAATTATTCCTTATTGATAATATTAGGAATGGGTACACTATAAATTCTGTAATAAGACAGAGGAAACATAATTCAAATTATTCCATAACCACCTAATTTTAGTAGTATAGCTATAAGAACTATGTATCTTGACAATTAGGACTTGATAAAATTGTAAAGTACTAGGGGAGGAGGACCATTTTTCTTTCTTTTTTTTTTTTTTTTTTCCCACACCAGGGATTGAATCCAGACCCCTTAACCTGGAGCAACATCCCCAATCCTTTGTTTTATGTTTTTTGGGCTTTTTAAAAAAGAGCCTTGCTAAGTTGCTGAGGCTGGCTTTGTACTTGAAATCCCACTGTCTCAGCCTCCCAAACCACTGAGATTACAGGCATGTGCCACCACACCCAGCCCATTTTTTCCTTCATAATCTTTGAATAAGAAATGTTCCTATTAAGTACAGCCTCCTCACCCAAAAAGGAAAAAATATCTGTAAACTACAGAAAATTAAAATTCTCCTACATTATTAAAATCAACAACTTCACAATAATTTCACCATCACTACTACTTTTTTTTTTGGTGCTAGGGATTGAACTCAGGGATACTCGACCACTGAGCCACATCCCCAGCCCTATTTTTTTTTTGGGGGGGGGGGGGGGACAGGATCTCACTGAGTTACTTAGTGTCTCGAAGTTGGTGAGGCTGGCTTTCAACTCTCAATTCTCCTGTCTCAGCCTCCCAAGCTGCTGGGATTACAGGCATGCACCACCAAGCACAGCAATGATATTTTTGTTTTGTTTGTAGTGTTGGTGATTGAACCCAGGGCCTTGTGCATGTGAAGCAAGCACTCTACCAACTGAGGTATGCCCCCAGCTCACCATCACTACTACTAATAAAATCAAAAATCAAGCCACAAACTAGAAGATGGTATTTGCTACTCATGATTGACAAGGCCTGATTGCCTCAGTAAAAAACCCAATAAAAAAGACTAAAAATCCAATTAAAAAAAAAAAAAAGAGTACAGGACATAAATCATAGAAAAGGAAATATTAATGACTCTTAAAGTAAAGAAAAATGCTCAGCTTCAATTATAGTAAGAAAAATACAAATTAAACTACAGTGAGAAAATATTTTTCATGTGTCAAGCTGGAAAAGTTCAAAACATTTAACAATACATGGTATTAAAGAGGCTATAATAAAACTAGCACTACTGTAAGTGCTCGCTAATGGGAATATAAATGAGTACAATCTCAGAAGAGGAAAATCTGACACTTAAGTAAAAATATATATATAATGTTTTTTTTTTTGTATTGGGGATTAAACCCAGGGGCACTTTATCCCAGCCCTTTTTATTTTTTGAGACAGGTCTCATTAAGTTGCTTAGGGCCTCACTAAGTTGCTGAAGTGGGCCTCAAACTTGTGATCTTCCTGCCTCAGCCTCACAAGTTGCTGGGATAACAGGCATGCACCACCACGCCCAGTTTTTGCTTATGCTTTTGACTTAACAGTTTCACTTGTAGAAATTTATCCTACAGATGCACTGTGCAAACACATACATATAAGGACATTTACTTTTCACTCTATACAATTATGTGTTATACATATGTAAAAAACAAAACATAAATGCACACACACATACATGCATGCTTGTATCTGTATAGAAATTCTGTCAAGACCCCCAAACTGGTAATAGCAGGTATTTCCAGGAGGAAACCTAGATACCCAGGACTAGAAGGGAGGATATCTACTTTTCATCCCATGTATTTATATACCTTTTGAGTTCATAATCATGAGCATGCAAACATCACATATGCATATATGCACACATATCAATTATGTATGCAAATATTTTCATAATGACGGCTGGGGTTGTGGCTCAGTGGTAGAGTGCTCAAATAGCACATGTGAGGCCCTTGGCACCACATAAAAAATAAATAAATAAATAAATTAATTAAAGGTATTGCATCTAACTACAACTAAAAAAATGAAATATTTTTTAAAAATTTCATAATGAGAAAAACATTTTAAATGCTAAAAAAACCTGTTCTTTTGAAATTGTAATGGTCATTATCTTCTTACTATATTAAGAAATACATCATGGGGCTAGGGCTGTGGCTCAGTGGTAGCGCGCTCGCCTAACATGCATGAGGCACTGGGTTCGATCCTCAGCACCACATAAATGTAAAATAAAGATATTGTGTCCACCTAAAAAAAAAAAAAAAAAAAAGAGATTCATCATACCCTCTACCCCCACCTTTTCCCTTTTTCTACCTTAACTCACCTTGGCATTAGCAGTATCGAAAATAGTTTCAATGAGTAAGATATCAACCCCACCATCCAGAAGTCCTCTGGCCTGCTCTTGGTATGCTTCAACAAGCTCATCAAATGCTGCAAAAAAGTAAGTCACACCCATCACATCAGTCACCAACATCCTCTGAATTGCACTCAGATAAAGTGACTTCAGGGCTAGCACACTGAACCACTGCTGGCTTATAATGCATCCGTTGAAAACAACAAACTTTTTTTCCTTCAGTACTGGGTATTGAACCCAGGGATGCTTGACCACTGACCTACATCCCATACATTTTTTTTTTTTTTTTTTTGAGACAGGATCTCAATAAGTTGCCAAGGATAGCCTCAAACTTGTGATCCTCCTGCCTCAGCCTCTGGAGTTGATGGAATCATAGATGAGTGCCATATGGCTGGCTAAAACACAATGTCTATAAGAAACCAAATAAAAAAATAACACAGTGATAAAAAAAAAAAGAAAATTTAAAAAGAAATATGGCAGTGACAGAAAGAAAACAAGCAAACTGAACACACCTGTTTCTGAATACTTGCCACATGACTTCCCTTCCCATGGATAAGCTAGGAGTGAGTAGGAAGGTGTGTCAATTTCCTGAACCATGTACTTTATTCTCAAGTCTTTAAAATACATTTTTTCTCAAAGACTTTTTTTTTTTTTTTTTTGGTCTCAGGGATTGAACCCAGGGCACTTAACCACTGAACCACATCCCCAGCCCTTCTCATTTTTTATTTTGAGACAGGGCCTCACTAAGTTGCTGAGGCTACCTTCCAACTTTAGATCCTCCTCCCTCAGCCTCCAGAACCACCAGGATTACAGACATGTGCCACCATGTCCAACCCTAAAAATCATTCTAATTAATCAATCAAGAGAGATCTTTGGAGGGTAAGAAACATAATCTGGATACAACACAAGTTGACTTGAAGTCTCACACTCTGTGGTAAAAGGCTACACTCCTGTAATTTTCACTCAATCCTTTAGATCAACTCTTTCAGAGAGGCAACCTCTCTGATGGGCAATTTTGATATCAAACAAAATTTTACTCCCAGGTAAAATATTTGCTAGAAATGTACTGTGCTGTCTATATTCGCCTGAAAAGTAGTTATCTCTCTCCCCATTTTATCTCCCAACCAAAACAGAAAAAAATACTTAGGTGTTCTATGAGAGAAGCCTAAGTAGCAAAGTTATGCTTGCTGTGTTTATGTATACCAGTACAGGAAGAGGAGAGGTTAGCTCCCCACTGTCATGTCTAGACCAGAGAGACCATCAATCACATACACATAATGAAGTAACACAACATGCAAAGTGCTGTAACAAAAACCAACAAACTAATTGTGTGAAATTGTCATCTATACAAAATGCATTACCATATATGGTATTATTAGTATTCAGCCTGAAAGTTTAATTCTTTTTGTTTTTTGTAGTCTTGATGCTTAGACACTGACTTAGATTCCTGAGTTTCGGGTCAAATCAGAATAAAGTACATTTACATATACTAGTTTTTAATTTTTTAATACTAGTACATTTAGATAGTTTGTATTACTTTAAATTAAATGGCAATATACTGCGTCTTTTATAATATACCAAGAGCTGGTATTCAGATGTTCTCTACTTTTCACTTTGAAACTTTCTTAAAATTGGTTTTGTTTCAACAGATGATAAAGAACAACTAACAAATCACCATATACATCTGAGAGCAAGCTCAAATAATAAGAGCAGTTCACTTTTTATTTAGATATCCACCATATTTCAAAACACTATACTGTAAACCCTTTTCATAGATAAAAATCACAATATCCCTGAAGTAAATCCTGTTACTGTCCCCACTTTACATATTACTAAAGCACAAGGGTACTTTTTCAAGGTCCCTGATTATGTGTCATAAATACTCACTGATGTTCCTAAAATCTGGTCTTTCCACAGATGGAGACACAGAGAGTGTCTTATTAGTTGGACCCAGAGCTCCTGCCACAAACCTCTTGATTCCTTTGGGAAAAGAAAAACAAGAATAAATTCTCTTAACTCAAATCTTTTTGTTGTAAACTAACAGACTATAAGACTCCTCGTAAAACACAGGGCTTTGCCCACAACTCAAAATCTAAAAAGCTCTCAAAGCCCAAATTTTTTTTCTTAATTGAATTGACAACAAACCTGCCTTCTACTGAAGTAATAAACAGCTGTTTATAGTCTTTTTGCCTTTTAGTGCACTTGTTCACAGATTCTGCTAATACATGTTTGGTTATGGGGGATGCCCAGACTCCCTGGGAAAATCATGAACTATAGGGGATATTTAAATATTCTCACCAAGCCAATCAAAACAACTAAATCCTCACATATGCAACCTCAAAGTCTTTCTATAAGTAATCCTTTTCTACCACCTCACTATGTTTGGACAAATTGTCTCCCCATTCTTAAGAAACCTTGAAGAGGGGCTGAAGTTGCAACTCAGTGGTAGAACACTTGCCTAGCATGTTTGAAGCACTGGGTTTGATTCTCAGCACTGCAAATAAGTAAATAAAGATCCATCAACAACTAAAAATATCAATTAAAAAATATAATAAAAAAGAAATCTTGAAGATCCTGATGTTAACCTGAAATGTTTAAGTCAAAATTAACAATTATAAAATTGAAATTCAAGTATGAAGCAGATTTAATACTGCTTTAACAATTCTTTAATAACCCTGCCTCTGGGCCACATGGAGATGTTGTTCATATCTGCATATCACACCACTCACTGCCTCTGGTGACTGTAGCCACTCAATGACGTGGGCTGTGCTGTAGGACTAAACTGGAGAAGACTACAACTAGTTAATAACCCAGCTTATGAGCAGGCTACAGGCCCAAATACTTTTTATCTTCTGCAAAGATGAGCAATAATATAGTGTGAGAAAAATGTCCTTATCTCTCCCTGCTTCAGCTGGTTCAGTATCCTCTGACCTGTTCACACATTACTGTGGATTTAAACATTATCTCTTAGCAACAGAGTTCCTATTAAGTTGATTGGTTTTCATTAGTATGCTTACCTAACTTCCTAACAATTCTGCATTATATATTTCCTATTGGCAATAATTTCACATTTCCAAATCCTAAAGGGCTCCATTTATTTCCTCTATTCCATCTCTCTCTTAAAATTCTCCCACCAGCCATTGTTCTGAGGGCAACCTGTAGGAGGTTAGTTATTTCAGAACACTTTTCAAGTCTCAGTAAGACTGAATCTAAGGACTCTTCTGTGTGCTGTAGTGCCTTCAAGGTCATTAGCAGGATAAAGTGGAAAATGCTACAAAGGCTTCCCTTTGCTTAAATATTAAATAAGCCAGCCCTGGGAGCAGGGTGGCTTTAGAGTGATGATATCAAATGTCCTAATGATAACAAAAATAATCAAATCAGCCAGCTATACCTTTAAGAACCTGATGAGGGGCTTCCATTATAGCTCTTTCACAGGAAAGTAATGGGCCTAGCTACAAAGTCAGGCTATAAACAATGTCAGGGTTTAAAAAAAAAAAAAAAACCGAGTCCAAGGCCCCCAGAAATAGCATGGCAGCAGAGATGGTGAATACTTCATTATGAAACTGCAGAGACGCAACCTACAAACAAATTAAAATACAGTATCTACAATTGCTCATAGGCCAAAGGTCATGTAAGGAAAACTGCAGTAAGAACAACACATTATAGCCAAGAACACTGAAGCAATCGTTGTGCAAGAAAGAAAGAAGAGCATCCTTTACCTGTCTGTAGAGTTATCTCTTCAGCAGCTTTTCTGGCCACACCTGCAGAGCACTTGTTCATCCGGTAGGCCTAACACATCAACCACTAACGTTAGTTTGTCCTGCTTTTCCTCCATGCAATAAATAAAGCATCTATATAGCCATCTAATACCTAGTTGTATTCAGAAAATAAACGCAAAGTGAATTAACATGAGATCAAAGTGAAAACTTAGCCAAGAAGGCTATCAGTTATCCTAGCCTCAAAAGGTAGTAGGGAATGGCAAGTCCTTGGGAACTTCTTCTAAAAGGATCTTCTCCCAAACCATAAGCCAGTGGTAAAAAAAAAAAAAAAAAAAAAAACAACCACTGGACACCTGGCATGCCACAGAATAACTGGTATAGTTATATATTCTGCAAATTACAAAAAACAATAATGAGGAAAACACAGACTTGGACCTAGGTTCTAGGTCTAGCACTGTCACTGCCTGGCCAGACAATCCCACAGCAACTTTCCCTGGTCCTGATTTCCTTCACTGTAAAATGGCTGAATGAGTAGTTCTAAACTTTCTGCAGATTATTAGCCTCTTAAGAATTTGATAAAGGGGTCTGGGGTTGTGGCTCAATGGTAGAATGCTTGCCTAGCATGTATGAGGCACTGGGTTCAATTCTTAGCACTGCATATAAATACATTTAAAAAAAAGAATAAAGGTCCATTGACAACTAAAAACTATTTTAAAAAAAATAGAATTTGATAAAGGACCATGAACCATCTTATGGGAAAATAAGCACATACACACACAGTGTGACCTGCAAGTTAAGGAAGTATGGGTCTCTTCAAGAGCCTTTCCACATGCCAGGTCCTGGATTGTGAACTTCATGATCTCTTCCAACTCTTAAGATCCATGTGCCTTAGATCCTCACATCAGATAATTAAGAAACCATAACATCCTAAGTGTGGATGGCAAAGTACGGCTCATAGGCAATCTAGGCCCTATTTTTATAAATAAAGTTTTTCTGGAATGCAGTCCGTAACTATTTATTTACATATTATCTATAGGTGCACACAATGATTATGACTTTACCAAAAGCAACTGCAAAACAAGCATCATTTTTATTTGATTATTACTTGTCCATAAAAGAAACGATTTGGAAAATGAATGGGTTGCTTTGCTCATAAGCAGAAGAGTTTCAAACTATTTTCCATGTATCACCACAAACAACAAACGAGCCATTAGCTTCACCCTGCAGCTTCAAATGGTTTTCTTACTAACAACTACCAACATAGCAAAAGCTCATAAGCTTCTCAAGTTGGAGGAAAAACGAAGTTCTTACCAAGTGTTCAAGGCCATAGTCAGCCTGGGCAATACTAGTGCTGCTAAAAGTATTTGTTTCGATGATATCTGCTCCAGCCAGCAAGTATTCCTGCAACAACACAATCATATCAATCTCAGTTCAGAGTCCCTGTCCCCCCAAAATAAACACATCCTTTCATCTCCATCACTGCACTGCCAACCACCTTTTGACTACTTACCAAGGGTAAGACAGTGCGTCAAAAACTAGAGTCACAGGAAGGTATAAGGATTTCACAAAAAGGCATGTGTTTCAAGAAATAAGAACAGAACTTCCATTCAGATGAAGTTAACACACTAAGGTTATATAAATTCTGTCAAGTTCCTTCAACTCTCAGTCCCAGTCTCCTCATCTGAAAGTACTATAACCCTCTTCTTCAGTCAGTGAAGCTATATAATACAAGGTAACACTTCACATGTCTGGCACATCTTGGGCACTCAACAAACATCAATTCTGACCTCTTACCTTCTCCTTGCTTCAGCACCCCCTGATCCCCACTGAAAACTGTACCATCAGTGAGATCTCAAATTCAGACCCTTTTTTTAGTCCACATCTCCTATTCCCTCTGGCCCAGACCTACACCCTTACTGGAACCTTAAGGACTCTAATACCATACAGTTTGTTCTCTCTGTTTGAAACCCATCTTCCTGATTTCACTCCTTGGATACGAATTCAATCTCAATCTAATGCCCTGGAATCTCTCAATCCCCCTGATTTTCCAACAATGAGTAAATTCAATCCTTCCTGAGCTGATGAACAATGTTTGCAAAAAAGCTAGGCAATGAAAAACAACATAAACACAAATGTAACAACAATAAGTCACAAACATCCTAAATACTATCAACAAGAAGACAGCTAAATAAATTATATAATCATTTTATTACCAGCCATGTGACAGCTAAAAAAATAAAGCTTTTTAAAAATCTCCATATCCTATATATGAAGATCTTTCAAAGTATTGTTTAGCAGAAAAAACAAAATAAAGCTAAGCATGGTGGCTCACACATTTAATTCTAGCAACTTGGGAAGCTAAGGCAAGAAGATCACAGATTTGAGGTCAGCCTAAGCAAATTAGGGAGAATCTGTCTCAAAAAAAAAAAAAAAAAAAAGGGCTGGGGATGTAGTTCAGTAGTAGACAGAATTCCCTTGGGTTCAATCCCCACTATCAAAAAAAAAAAGAAAAAGAAAACCAAAACAGAATAATATGTAAAGATGATACTACTAAAACATATGTGTACTAACAGTTCCTACACATACATAAATAAGTGTTTAAACATATAACACAAGGATCTGAAAAGACAGAGAGCAACTAAGAGTGGTCATCTCTGGGGGAAAAAAAATAGCAATGTGGAGTAGTTGATGGGAATTTATTCTTATCATTAGATTTTGTTTTATAAGAATAAATTTTAAAATTTAATTTTTTAACAAAGAATAAGAAAAATGAAAAACAACCTTAATGCCTATGAATAACAGATTAATTAAGCAAAGAACAGGTTATTATGAAATTATAAAGCCATGTTTTAGAACATTTAATGCTAATGTATATAAGTAAAAGCTACAAATTATAAAATAGTATGAAGCAATAAAATTTAACTTAATTTTTAAAAATCCAAGTGCAGAAAACTATACAAAATGTTATTGGGGTTTTTTGTTTTGTTTGGTATCAGGGTTCAAACCACAGGGTACTATACCACCAAGCTACTACCCCAGCCCGTTTGAGACATGGTCTTACTAAATTACTAAGGGCTTCAAGTTGCTAAAGCTGGCCTTGACCTTGCAATCCTCCTGCCTCAGCCTCCCAAGTCACTGGGACTACAAGCCTGCACTATCATTCCTCACTAGAAAACTAGATGAAAAATCAACTAGAATATGTGAACGGTAGTTATGTCTTGAGATTTTGTAATGGGTGAGGGCCTGCTTCCTGGTTCACAGAGGACAGCTTCTCACTGTGCCCTCACATGGAAGAGGTGAACGAGCTCCCTCTATTAAAAGGGCGCCTCTTACCACCATCACATTGGGCATTAGGTTTTAACAGGTGACTCTTAGGTGTACACCAATATTTACAACATAGCTGCCCTTATAAGACACAGACTTTGCTTTCACTTTCTGCTCTCCACCATGTGAGGACACAATGAGAAGATGGTTATCTGTGAATAGGAAGAGGGCCCATAGCAGGCACCAAATCTGTTGGCACTTCAATCCCAAAAACTGTAAAAAAAAAAAAAAAAAAAAAAAAGAATACCATTGTTTAAGCCATCCAGTCTAACTTATCACAGCCGCCCAAATCAACTAAGATACCATCTTTTGAGATTTCTTCTTAAGAGCTGTGTCAGTGACTTAAACAAGGTAGTGAACCCTTAATTTGTCCAGAATTTTAGGGTTCTTTACTGGGTTTGCCTCAAAAGCATAAAACCAACTATTTCTTATCTGCTTATCACAAATACTAAACACTAAACACACTTTTATTTTATATCCCACACCAGCTTTCTTAATAAATCATCTTTCTTCTGTATTCTCCAGAGCACACAGGAGTGTTCTGACTCGGTACATGAAACAGTTTGAGTGAACGTTAAGAAGCTGGAAAAATTACCTTATGGATTTGGTAAATGATATCAGGTTGAGTTATACTTAAAATGTCATTGTTGCCTTTCAGTGGTTTGGCATGGTCTTTAAATTCTTGACCTTGGAACTTTTCTTCACTTAGCTTGTACCGCTGGATCATGGTCCCCATTCCGCCATCGAGCACCATAATCCTCTTCCTCAGAATGGCTTCAATCTCATCCCGAAGTGTTTTCTTCATACCTCCATACAGAAAGTAAAATCTGACTTTAAAGAATGAAAGATAACCCAGGCACGGTGGCACATGCCTATAATCCCAGCAGCTCAGGAGGCTGAGGCAGGAGGATCGTCAGTTCAGAGCCAGCCTCAACAACAGCGAGGCAATAAGCAACTCAATGAGACCATGTCTCTAAATAAAATACCAAAAAGAAAAGGGCTGGGGATGTGATGTTCAGTGGTTGAGTGCCCCTGAGTTCAATCCCCAGTACCCACCCTACCACCCCCAAAAAAGAATGAAAGATAAACCAGGTGTGGTGGTGAATGCCTGTAATCCCAGGAGGCTGAGGCAGGAGAATCCCAAGTTCAAGCCCAGGAATTTAGCAAGATCCTGTCTCAAAATTAAAAAAAAAAAAAATAACCTTTTTAATTTTTTGTGTTGGTGGTGGTAGATGAACACAATATCTTTATTTTATTTATTGTTATGTGGTGCTGAGGATTGAACCCAGTGCCTCACACATGCTAGGCAAGTGCTCTACCACTGAGCTACAATCCCAGCCCCTCAAAATAAAAAACTTTAGGGTTAGGGATGGTGTGGTAAAGCCCCACTGGATTCAATGCCCAGTCCCACAAAAATAAATAATAAGTAAAAATAAAGAGTAAAAGGAAAAAAAGATGTGGAGGAAGAATTCAGGGTAGTTTATAATTCACAATAGGGAGGAGTATGTGAAGCTCATAAAAGATGCACTCACAACTCTACAGCATTAGGTGAAGCACCAAACGAAGAAGAAAGTAGGCTGGTTCTATTTCAGTTGTGAAACAGTCTCCACTTAAAACTCACAGGGTCTCATTTCAGGGTGAATTCAGCTACACTGTTTTAAAAAAGGAATTTCAGTTGGATATATTATAGATTAAAGTGTTATTGCCATTTAATTGTCTGTCCTGAGTATTGGCTTCTTTCTGCCAGATTGATGTTCATTTCCAAACCTGAAAATATGCCATTCCTGTCTCAACAGCAACAGGCTTCTACATTAATCACATACTTATTTTTCCTTTAGGGATGTAAGATTTCCCACTGAGAGAAAATCAGCCCTCCTCCTAAGAGTTGTTGGTCTAAGTGTCCACTGTTCTTATTCTTCAGTATTCCAAGCTCAGCTTTTCCAGTGGAAGGTTATCTTTCACTGGTGTCTAATTAGCATTCTAACTCACCAGTTTCTAACCTTCTTTTAAATTCTTAAGTCCCCTGAACAACTTTCCCTTGGCAGAGTGACCATTCATTGGAAGCTGCTCTTCTATGAAGAACTACCACCAACAGAAAGTAATAATTTATCTGCAATTAGGTCTAGAACACTCTGTACATTTCAGGACTAACCAGGTCCTAAACAGAACAGATTCTTCCAAATTCCTTTCACAGTAAATATAGGAATATAGTATTGTTCTCCCACTGAACTGGTTCTAACACTGTCTCAGAAATATTTTTATGCTTAATGTATGTATGTGATATAGATTACTACTGCAGAGCAGAGAGTCCTAAGAAGTGTCCTTGGGGGCTGGGTTGTAGCATAGTAGTAGAACGCTTGCCTTGAATACATGAGGCACTGGGTTCGATCCTGGCACCATATAAAAATAAATAAATAAAGATATTGTGTCCATCTACAAGCAAAAAAAAAAAAAAGAAAGAAAGAAATGTCTTTGGCTAGTAAGCCCAAGAGATCACACAGTATTTTATGATCTAGCCAATGCATTTTATTAGGTTTCTTTTTTCTGTCATTAACATTTTATTTTTTAGATAATATTCTGAGTTACAGCAAGTGTTCCAAAAAAACAAACAAACATGGAATTAACTGGTTACAGGACCAATCAGATGTTGAGGTGGGTAAGTCAGACAGCACCACCTTTAAGAACTATCCTAAAGAATGACAAGATGAAATCATTAACTAATAAACCCCTAATAATGTTAGTAATAAATTGCAGTATCAGGAATACATCTCTGGAGATACAATGACCTCACATAGGCCTAATTTTCTTAGGACTTCCCTTTCCACTGTGATAAACAGGAAGGAAAAAACATTCTTATTTTCTGCACCATAAGTAAGTGATCCCAACTCTTTCTTGCCTTTATTCTATTAAAGATCATCTTACTTCTGCCCTTCGAATCCCTCTCAAGATACTTTTATTTTTGGATTCCTATTTTCCTTGGTTTGCACTTACTTGCTACAAAGGCATCTCTTTGCTTGTGCAGTATTCCATTTTTTAAATACTTTATTTCCCCATTTGATTTTAATAATCCAGAAAGGATTAAGCTGATACCAACACACTGAATCATTCATTCATTCTTTCATTAATCATTCATCAACTGAATTCCAAATAACATGTACAGTACCAAGCAAGGATGAAACTAAGAATTCTTTAAAAGGCTGTGGTTGAAATCTTCACACAGTAAGTATCTGCTAGTCTATCAGACTCCTCCCCCAGGGGATACAACCATGGTCTGAAGTCACAGACAGTTAGCCTTAAGGCCCAACCTTGAGATTCAGGAATTCCCAGTTCTTCAATTAAACAGCTTCATTAAGATTCAACATTATGGGCTGTATTTGTAGCTCAGTGGTACAGCACTTGCCCAGCATGTGTGAGGCACTAGGTTCAATTATCAGCACCATAAGAATAAATAATTAAAGGTACTGTGTCCATGTACAACTGTGTGTGTGTGTGTGTGTGTACATTATTAAAGAAAAATAAAGCAGAAGGAAAAAAAGAAAAGATTGGATACAAGTAAGTGGCTAAGGGTTTTAGGAAGTTAAAACTCAACTGGAATCCTAACATACAGAGAAGCAGGAATACATGAAAGGTGTTTTCTAGCCACAGTCCTGACTCAGAGCTCTTTAAGGGCCCTATGCTTGGTTAAACTTGAGGGTGCTCAATAGCAGAAGACAATAAAGTGAGGGGACTGGGCTAGATACACCCAACAATTTTTCTGTCATTTTCTATATTAAAACAAAACAAAACACTCACTATTCAAAGTATTCTAAATATTCAGAGACATACTGCTGCTGCTATTACCTACATTCAGCTTAAGGAGTAATACTATTTCCTTTTTTAAAATAAATGAGGAAGAAGCCCAAAGCCATGAGTAAGAGATTATTCAAATAACCTTGATACCCTTTTCAGAAAGATCTTTCTGTTTTGTTTTTGGTATCAGGGACTGAACCCAGGCGCATTTTACACTGTACTACATTCCCAACCTTAATTATTTTTTATTTGAGACAGTGCTGCTTAGTTGCTGAAGGTCTCACTAAATTGCTGAGACTGGCCTTGAACTTGCAATCCTCTTGCCAAGTTGCTGAGATTAAAAGACTGCCAGCTGGAGACAGGTCTAATTTTAAAGCATCAGTGCTGTGCTTCTCAGTCACAGTTCCATTCGTTTCAACGACATTTCTACTAGGTCCATTTATGATGCCGAAGTCATCAGCTACCCTCCGATAAACTTCCTTCTGGATTATTCATTCGGTACTCCTCCTCCTTCTGGAGCTGAACATCCTCACATCATAAGACAGTTACTTTTCTGTCCTTCTTACTAATTCTCTTGTTTCTACATCTCCTACCACACATTTCTATAATGCTTCTGCCCACAAATTATGAGACCCAGAGTTCCTTTCAAGACTGAAACTGCGGTCTGTTCTTGTGCATGTCTAGCATTTTCTCATTGCTGACCCCAGAGCCAGCAACATCAGGATACTTCAGAGTGCCACTCCCTGTCCTGAGTCCTGGAGTGGGCCTTAAAGGGCTATTTAAACCACTGGGAGCCCCTCGTCTCAGATCTGCAACACCAGCCAATACTTAAATGTATAAAACAGACGAAGTGGCTCGCGCCTACGTTCCTAGTGACTCGGAGGCTGAGGCCAGAGGATCGCAAATTCATAAGCCAGCCTCAGCAGGAGGGCCTGGGGTGCAACACCCAGCCCCGCAAAAAAAAAAAAAAAAAAGAGAGACAGGAAAGCCGAGACGGACGGCAAGCCTGGCCCTGTGGGCCTGGGGTTCCCGCGGCGGCTCTGGCCTCCCTGGAGCCCGCCGAGGTTCACGCGCACGTGAGAGCCAAGTTGGCGGCGCTCCTGGGCACGGCGGGCGGCCTAAGCCGCGGCGTAAGGCCCTGCCCAGGGCGGGCATGGGCGCAGAGGCTCGCGGCGTGAGGCCGCCGGAGCGAGGCGCCGCGCCTTACCGGGTTGAGGCGGGTCCTGCAGCGCGGGACACATGTCGCCGGGCCCCCTCCGCGGGCCCGCGGACCCGCGGGGCAGCCGCGCTCTCCACAGGTGGCAGCCGCGGGCGATGCCGGCCAGCGGGCGAGCCAGGCCCGGTATCCTCACGCGGCCGCAGACGGGTATGGGACACGTGCCGCCTTCGCGTCACCAGCCGCCCTCCGTGCCAGCGCGGTCGCAGCGGGGTCGCGGGAGGGCGCGGAAGCGGCTCGGCCGGCCACAGCTCCCAGAGAGCTTCCTCCGAGCCGCTACTCAGCTCGCGCCATCCAGAGCGCGGGAGGACCCGCCCCCTCCGGCCGGCGATTGGCCCGCACGCTCCCCTAGCAGGGCTATTGGCCGCTGGCCTCAACCAATCATGGAGCCTTCGCCCCGCTGCCGTCTGGGAGACGCAATCCCGGCCCGGCTCAGGCCCCACGAGGCCTGGCTCATGCCTGCATCTGGACCAGGTTCAAGTCGTGGCGCCAAGTCGCGCTGACCTGCAGGAGCTGAGAGGTGGCTAAAGCCAAGAATGTGTAGTCTGAAGACCAACTCCAGTTCCGTTTCGGCGGTGTGGGGCAACACGCTAAACCACACTCAGTAGAAGTGCTAGGGCGGTGTAATTACTGTTTTATGGATCTAAGATTAAATGAAATCCTGTGGACGCGCTGTGAAAACTCTGAAGCACATATATGCATAATGATTGTCACTTATTGACATTTATTGAGTGCGTATATATATATATAAAATCAAGCTTCGGGATACACACTTGGATTGCAGAAACACAAGGTACACCACTCCCCAACTCTGACTTGCAGGAGGAATGCACAAGTACTAAAAGATAACTGAACATGAAAAAAGAACTATATAAAATGTCTCAAAAGAGGGGCTGAGGTTGTGGCTCAGCGGTAGAGTGCTCGCCTAGCATGCATAAGGCACCAGGTTCGATCCTCAGCATCACATAAAAATAAATAAAATAAAGGTATTGTGTCCAACTGCAACTAAAAAATAAATATATGTTTTTAAATGTTTCAAAAGAGCTGCATTCTCTAAGAGTGTTGAGGGGAAACTTCAAAGAAGCAGCTGGGTCTTGAAAGAGACTCTTTATGCCAGCTAAATCCATTCCAGCCCGGGAAAAATTGTCTTGAAATACACAGCACTTTAGAGAATGTGAATGAGGGACAGCTCTGTAAAGCTGATGTTGGTAGATGAGAGAAAAAGCAAATTAATCTAGAAAAATAAAATTGAGACCAAATTACGAAGTCTTGTGTTTTAAAAAAGGCATAAAGTCACATGCCATTCTGTTTTATTGTATGTAATTATGCCTCAATTTTTAAAATCTAAAAAATTATGTGTGTAGCATCCTTACCAAAGGTGGTCATAGGAGAAGGAGGGAAATGGAGTGGATGGGATAGAATGGGATAGAGATAAGATAGTCCTGAAAAGCCAAAGACTTTTTTTTAAGATTATAAAGACCAATCTTCAAATTATCATCTATAACCTAAAGTTCATTAATAAGCATTATTGTTTGGATATGAGATGTCCCCAAAGCTCCTGTATTAATGCAAGAATATAAAGAAGCTAAATGGTTGGATTATGAGAGTTTTAACCTAATTCATCCTTCTTAGGTTTGGGGTTTTATGGGGTATTTTTGTTTGTTTTAGGTGCCAGGGATTGAACCCAGGCACACTTAAACACTGAGCCATATCCCCAGCCCTTTTTAAAATTTATTTTTAGACCGGGTCTTGCTAAGTTGTTGAGGCTGGCTTTGAACTCCCAGTCCTCCTGCCTTGGCCTCTCAAGAGGCTGAGATTACAGGTGTGTGTCACCACACCCTGCCATCCTTCATAGTTTGAGTGGACTGAGAGTGCTCACTGTAGACAGGTGGGATATGGCTGGAGGAGGTATATTGGAGGGGTGTATCCTGGAAGGATTCCTCTTTCTTGCTGCCCCTTCCCCCTCTCTGCTTCCTGGCCTTCTTGAAGGACACAGCCAGCTCTCCACCATCTTGCCTTTCCACCTTGATGTTCTGCCTCACCTTGGCCCAGAGCAATAGAACAGCCAACATGAACTACAACTCTGAAAACATCAGCCAAAATGAAATTTTTCTCCTCTAAGATGGTCTTCTTGGGTATTTTGGTCACAGAGACTCAAAGCTGATTAAAAATCTCCTAGTAGATACTCCGGAACTGTGTAGCAGTCTCTGCTTCTAACAAGTTATCAAAAAATTACTGTCTCAGCTAAAAATAAGTCCAGTATTTTCTTGATTTCATCAAAGAGTAAGACAAATTAATACAGAATGCTTGGTGACTTCCTAGTACAAAAACTCACAGCTCAAAGAAAAGTTCCAAAAATACTTTTATAGAACAAATTGTGTGGCCCTCAAAGATACGTTGAAGTCCTAACCCCACTGCTTGAGATTGTGACCTTATTTGGAAATGGGGTTGTTGCAGATATAATCAGAACAGTACAGTAAGGTCATACTAGAGTAGGGTAGACCCTTAAACCAATAGGACCAGTGTCCTTACAAGAAGAAGTGAGAGACACACAATGAGAAAACAGCCACCTGTTCACAGAAATCGGAGTAATACATCCACAAACCAAAGCACGTAAGGACTGCTGTGAACCCCAGAAGCTAAGGAAGGACACTCCCTGTAGGTTTCAAAGTGCAGCCCTGCGTATACCTTGTCCTTCAGACTTCTGGCTTGCAGAACTATCAGATAATAAATTTCAATTATTTTAAGCCACTTGTTTTGTGTTACTTCGTTAAGTTGCCTTAGGAAACCAATAGAAGTACATCTGTAGATAGGATGGGATTACTGAAGCAAAGCCTGAGGTCTCTATCTCTGTAGATGACAACCTATTATCTTTGGTGACAAGCTGGCTAGTCCACCCTGTCTCCACCTCTCCCTCATTAATAACTTCAACTCAATCCCACTGTTTAGAGGTTAGGCACAAACAACTCCTGGGTGAGTTGAGTGTCCTTGCCCAGTGCATGACTCTTAATAGAAAGAAGTATGGTCATCACCACTGTATGTCCAGTTCTTATGGTATCCAGTAACAAATTGGCCCTCCAGCACCACACACTATCCTGTGGGCTTGGTCTGTAGATCAACTCATTAGGTTACCCCTTGTGTTCTGTTAATCAAGGTCCTGAGAATGTGAACCGAGATCTAGAACAAAGCGTTGCTACCCACGGGTCTGTCCACGTGGCCACTGGCTTTTCAGAAAAGATCTCTGACTTTGCCAGAAGGTGAGCCCTGCTACCTCCATCCCTCAAATTCTTTCATCAGCTAAAAATTTAGTTCCCCCCTCCCCAGAATCACATAGACCAGCAACCATTATTAACCACACAAATTGTACAAGATAAGCTGAATTTTCAGTGCGTGGGATATGTCCCTCGAATCAGTGCTGGGCAGTAAGAAAGAATGGAAAGAGAATTTGTACCTATTTTATTATAACCAAGAGCCCTGGGGGGGGTCCCTCTTGCTTTACTGCTGCAGTGAGACGACTACCATTTCCCTTTCAAATATCTGACACCTGGAGGCATAGAGGGCTCAGTTTGGGTCTCTATTCCTCAGACTCCAACAGCATGCTTTATTTTCAAAACACAGTTCATCTTTCACTCAGCTAATTATGGCAGCACCTGGAGAAAATTAAACGCAAAATAGATTTTAGCTAATTACATGATAATGGTAGCTACAAATTGAACTCTTTAACTGTTATGTGCCATCTTTTTACTTAATCTTATTTAACCCTTTTTGTAACACAGAGTTCATCTATTTTCCCCATCGTTTTCAGGGATAAAAACTGGTACTTAAATGTTAGCAAGAAAAGAAAGGGGAAGGAATTGTGGAGGGATGAGGCCAGATGCCAGTACCCAGGGCAGCAGGTTAACAGTTAAGGAAGCAAAAATATATTTCCAAGTACAGAAAATATCGATATTCAAGATGGAAGTAGAGCATTGTGCAAGGGTTCAATGCAAAGATTTTTTTTTAAATTTTTCAAAAAATCCAAGCACAGTGTGGAGGATTTTACATTCTTTCCTACAACTTCTATGGTTTTGTTTTATTTTGTTTTAATCAAAACACACTGCAAATTTTTGGCATTCTTTGCATATAGAATGACCCACATTAACTCAAATTTTAACTCCCAATAGTCTTATATTTACTGAAAACCTAGGAAGAAAACCATCTTGAACTGTTTCTATACATCGACGGCTTCCAAAAACACATTTAATAGACCTAAACATGTTACGTTTCCATAGAACTTGAGATTCTCATTTGCAAGTTTCACGTAAGCCTTGAGTTGAACTGTTCTACCTGCAATAGCTCAGTCTCGAAGGGCATTTTTAAATCCCTTTGTTTTCTCTTCAGTCTCAGGCAAGTTTGAGAATTGACCCTCAGATAACCAGTTTGTGAGAAAAGATAGCTGAAGAGACATATGGACAGATGACCAAAAACCTCAATTCAGACAAAACAAGATAGAACAAACTTATATTACAGAAAAAAATGAGGGTAAAAAGGCAGGAAAAATGATTGTCAAAAATTGTCACCATTATTTCTGAGAATGGGGGAATCCTTTTTTTTTTTTTTTGGTCAGGTTTTATGGATTTTTTGTTTGTTTGTTTGTTTTGCCTAAGTACAAATATTTTTATTTAATGGACAAAAACATGGTATTTAATTAGTTTAAAATGGGAAGTGAACCAATAACACTTCAAAATCTTTTTTTTTTTTTTTTTTTTGGTTCTGGCTATAGCCCCACTCCTTTTTATTTATTTATTTTTTAAATTTTGAGACAGGGCCTCACTAAATTGCTTAAGGCCTCATTACATTACTAAGGCTGTCCTCCTGCCTCAGCCTCCTGAGTCTCTGGGACTACAGACAAGCACAAGGAGCCAGGGGCTATTGTTTGCCTTTCAAGAACAAGTTTTAAAATAGAAGTGATTTATAAGAATTAAGTGACCTAGGCTCAGACCATGTCTGGACAGCCACAGGGAAGGACCTCCTTGAGATGGGAGGGAAAAACCGGAGGAGGGAAATGGGGAGGTGGGAAAGAAAGGTGAGGGAAGGAGGCAGGGAAATGAGAAAAAAAATAATAATAAAGTGAACTACCCAGTGTTGTTTTCCAGCCCTTCCTGGCAGAAGGGCTCCAATTAATATGATCAAGTCAAAACCTGGAATTTCTGTTGTATTTGGCACATAATTCAATCATGAAAAGAGACGTTCTTGGTATAGGTGTAAAGATCCAATTGTTTAGCCAGGTGCAGTGGTGCACGCCTGTAATTCCA